AGTTAAAGTGAATGTGTTCTGGTCCATATGAAGTGCTGAGAGTGATGCTTCTGGGGTTCCTCATGGAAGAGTATCTGGACACATCATCTTCTGGGTTTTAAATAAGAGAAAAAGTCAAATAAGAAATGATCATTTAAAATTTTCAAGAATAAATATTTAAAGAATGAGAAAACAAAGTAATCTGATGTCTGCAATATACAACTTACAAAGTTTATAAATCTACAGAAGACCCAGGCATCTGGTTCTGGCTTGCATTGATGGGAACATCAGTCAAGGGTAATTAGTTTTCAGTGTAAAGCATTCTCTCTCATTACAGCTGAGAAGCCATGATTTTCATTTCAGTAAAGAAAAACTGAATTTTCCCAGCTTGTCAGTGATGATGGAGGCCATCAAGCTAAATAAAGAGGGCTTCAGGACTTGGTTGTTTTGAAGGACTCCTGATGCAGCTGACAAGTACAGGGTGGCCAGAAGGACTGCAGCTTTGGTGGTTATGGAAGCAAAAACTCGGGCATAGGAGGAATTCGGGGAGGCAGTGGAAAAATGATTCTATGACTTAGGAAAGGAAAATGAACCCTATCCCAGTCTGTACTTGGTTTGGGTGGGGGACTGCTGACCTGAACTGAGGACATTGGTGAGTGGTGGAAGGAACATTTTGAGGATCTCCCTAATCCACCCACCATGCCCACGTTTGAGGAGACAGTCTGAGGACTCGGGTGAAGACGAGTCCATTGCCGTGGCAGAGGTCACCAAGGTAATCAAAAAGCTCCTTGGTGGCAGGACGCCAGGTGTGGCCAAGAATCGACCTGAGATGCTGAAGGCTTTGGATGTTATGGGGCTGTCATGCTTGACGTGTCTCTTCAATGTCACATGGAGGACTTGGATAATGCCTGTGGAGTGGCAGACCAAGGTGGTGGTTCCCATTTTTAAAAAGGGGAGCGGAGAGTGTGTTCCAACTATCGTGGGATCACACGTCTCACCCTCCCCGGGAAGATTTACTCCAGGATGATGGAAGGGAGGCTCCAACCAACTGTTCAACTTCAGATTCAAGAGGATCAGTGTGGCTTCAGTCCTGGTCCTAGCGTGGAACTCTGGACCAGATATTTACACTTGCAGAGTTGCTAATGGGGTTGTGAGAGTTTGCTTCTCCAGTCTACGGATCTGGAGAAGGCTTGTGACTGTGTTCCTGTAAGCATTCTGTAGGGGTTACTGAAGGAGTATAGGGTACCTGGCTTGCTTTTAAGAACTCTCCAGTCCCTGTAGAACCAAAGCAGGAGCTGTGTCTGCATTATTGGCACAAAGTCAGGCTCATTCTCAGTGCAGGTTGGACTCCTCCAGGGCTGTCCCTTGTGCCCAGTCCTGTTTGTGGTTTTCATGGACTAGATCTTGAGGCACCACTGTGCAGAGAAAAGTGTCTGGTTTGGGAACCTCAGGGTCTCATCTCTGCTTTATGCAGATGTTGTGGTTCTGTTGGCGTCTTCGGGCCATGACCTTGAGCAGACACCGGGTGGAATGAGAGTCAGCTCCTCTAAGTCTGAGGCCATGGTTCTTGACTGTAAATGGGTGGAATGCCCCTCTTGTTTGGGGGAGACTGTTTTTGGTTGAGGAGTTCAAGTATCTGGGCATCTTGTTCACATGTGATGGTAGGATGGAGCGAGAAATGGATTGAAGGATTGGAGCTTCATGCTCAGTAATGAGGGTGTTGCTTCTGTCAGTTGTGGTGAAGAAGGAGCTGAGTCAAAAAGTAACGCTTTCGATGAACTGGTCTGTCTACATTCCAGCCCTCACCTACGGTCATGAGGTTTGGATCAAAGAACAAGATCCATAATACAAGCGGTCAAAATGGGCTTCCTTCATAGGGTGGCTGGTCTTAGCCTTAGAAATAGGGTGAGGAGCTCCATCATCCGGAGGAGGAGGAGGAGCTCAGAGAAGAACTGCTGCTCCTCCACATAAAAAGAAGTCAGTGGAGGTGGTTCATATGATTAGAATGCCTCCTGGACGCCTCCCTTTAGAGATTTTCTGGGCACGTCCCAGGAGGCACCTGGATGCACTGGGGAAGACCCAGAAGTTGCTGGAAGGATTGTATTTCTTCACTGACCTGGGAATGCATTGGGATCCCCCAGAATGAGCTGGAAAGTGTTACTGGGTCCCCCAGTGCTCAACAAAGCTAAAGAACCAAGTTTGACAATAACTGGATAAAATTATAAAGTAAATAACTACTTGTTCAAGTTATACTGTCAAAGATCTGACTTAGTTTTGGGGTCATTTTGACTCTAGAATTATTTAAAGTGTTTTTATTTATTGTTTGCTATCTAAATGAACAGTGCTGAGGAAACTAAAATTTTAAGCAATATAAAAACTAGAAAGCATAGTTTCCCCAAATAATACAAGTGGTCCATTTAAACACATGTTATTGTTATAACAGAGTTATTTATGTTTAATTTTCTCATTTTTAAGTCGCAACCACAGCACTGTAGGACTTTCACCCAAGAAAATAACTTAAATACCCTAAGGCACTTAGGTTCATTTCGACAATGGAAGCATTAAATTGTTCCACAGTAGACACAAAAATGTATTTAAACACCCTTATTTAAAATCTAATTTAAAAAATGAGGCAGGGTTTTTAATAAAATAACTTAGTCCAGGGTGAGGCTTCCTGGTGGCCAGTCAACTAAAAACAAGGAAAAAAGGATGGTAATCAAACATAAACAGAAAATTCACCCAAAAACTGTGATGCAAGAACATGAGGAGTGGAAGGGACCCATCACCCACAGCACACAACGCAGGGGGAACCAACACCAGACTCTGGACTGTCTTCAGCCCTCAGCCTGTAACAAAAAGACAAAAATAAAATTACCAACCAGAACGTAATATGGATAATAAGTGAATGTAAACAAAATTAGGACAATATAGGCCTCATATACACACACAATTAAAAATGGCTCCAGTAGTTGGGTTAGTCCATCTTATCAGGTGAAACGCTGCCTGGTTACAGTGAATCAAGAAGACTGCAAAAATTGACGAAAGCTCCTCACTAACTTGGGAGCCAGGCAGAAGGAGAAATCCCACATAAGACAGGCACTGGAGCAATGTGGATATCCTAACTGGACCTTCCTGAAAGCAGAGCAGAAACCAGTCCACCTTCAGGTGAAAAGGAGTAACCCAGCCCAGTGGTCATTCTGTGCAGGAGTTTCAGAGAAACTGGGATGTTTATTTTAGAAACATGACCTCTCAGTGGCTTTTAAACCCCAAAATACATTAAAGACTGGTTCATCCCAAAGATCCAGTCCCCCGACAGAGTAATATTGTATATATTAGGGGAGTGGTGGCGCAGAGGTTAGAGAAGGTGGGCCTATGATCGGAATATCGCCAGTTCAAGCCCCAGTACAGACAACATCAAAATGTGGGTGGAAAAGGTGGAACACCCACACCTCTCTCCACCCTCATTCGCCCCACTCTGGGCCCCTGAGCAAGGCTCTTAACCCCCACCATCTGCTTCCTAAACAGGACTCTTTTGAAAATGAGTTCTCGTGGCTCAGTGAGACTACCTGTATAAATAAAGGGTAAATGAAAAAAAAAAAAAAAGCTGTTCAGTGTCAGAGCTGTGATCAGTCTTACATCGGGAAAACTAAACAGCCACTGGCCAAAAGGATGGTCCAGCACAGAAGAGCAACATCATCAGGCCAGGACTCTACGGTCTACACTCATCTCCAGGTCAGAGGTCACTCGTTCAGGGATGAAGATGTTCACATCCTGGATGGAGAGGAACGATGATTTGAGTGTGTCCCTCACCCATTACAAATGCTTCTGATGTCAATGAAGGGGGATATTCACCTTTATTCAAATGGCAGTTTGCAATGCAATATTTTGCAATGGGCAATTCCAATTGCAGAGTGGTGATGCATCATTAATTAATTTAGAATTATTTCAGTGATATTTATGAATGGAAATTGTGTACAGCTTGCTTGCTTATTTATTTTACAATTACATTGTAGTAGTTAAATATGTGTGTAAAAAGTGCAAACATACTTGTCTGACCCAATGAAATAACTGTTGGTTAATTAATGAACTTACAATGCACACCATGTTGTTCAAGTCAAGAACCATTGTCAGCACTGGGGGCTAAGTACCCCTGAAGGTCAGATCCTAGAATCACCCTTGCTCTCCACAACAGGTGAATCACCTGCCACTCACTCCATGGCATGAATAAAATTAAAGGTCAAATCAATAAAAATGCCAAGCATAAAGATTTGGAGAGTCGGAAATGTAATATTTGTGTAAAATAGGAAGTATAGTGTCTCTTTTTTGTTTTCAAGGAACCTAATCTTGAGATGTCATTTTTATTACACTTTTGGGTTCTGTTTATTGCATTTATGATTCAATGCAGCAAAATAAACAAATTCAAAAGTAACCCATCATTGTAATACTTGGTTTATTCACATAATGACTATTTGCTGGCTGTCCGGCCCCTGAACTGTTATTTTCAGTAACTGTGGCCCCCTGAGTAGTTTAGTTGAAAAGCCCTGCTCCGTTACTTATACTGAACAAAATAGAGCAACACTTTTGTTTTTGTTTCCATTTTTCATGAGCAGAACTCAAATATCTAATACTTTTCTATTTACACAATAAGCTTTTTCTCTCAAATATTGTTCACAACTTTGTGTAAATCTGAGTTAGTGAGCACTTCTTTGCTGAAATCATTCATCCACCACACAAGTGAGGCACATCAACGTGCTGATTACACAGCATGATTACTGCACTGGTGTACCTTAGGCTGACCACAATAAAAGGCCATTTTTGCACTCTTCCACGCTCGCTAAAATACAAACTACGCAGAAACAGAAATCGTACAGAAAAATGCCAGAAAACAGGAGTGTGAATGCTGAGTCAGCACAACAAAAACTGTAGAGCAGGAGGAATCAGGCTTCTGAAGTGGAACAAACGTTAAGAAAAAAACTGAAATGTAATCATAAAACTTTATTCATATACAAGATACTCAAGTAGAGACGATGACATACAGTAATGCTGAAGTGGGCTGCATGTTAATGTGAAAAATGAAACCTCAGTCCATGACATGAGCTCACACTCAGCCGTACGCTTTGTGAATCTTTAGAACAACTTCTTTTCTAAAGTCTGGAGACATTTAGGATAAATAAAACACCAAAACTTAAAACAAGTTATAACACAACAGCTGCAACTGACAGACAGCTTCTCAGGCTCAAAATGTTCCACCCGTGCTCCAGAGGAGGTGTCAAGCTTGGAACGCCACTTAGGAAAACTTGGCTGCTTGAGGAGGAGGTCCCAGGAAGCCTCCCGCCTGCTTTGTCGCAGCTCTGGAGGGAGCGAGGCCGAGCAACTTCTGAATGTTCTGGAAGACAAACATGTTTCTTACAAACAAGTACCGATGACTTACTGTCAAAGACTTTTGGGATATCACTTCATTTGGACTCATTTTTGAAAACTTTGTGACTTTAGGTCAAAGTTCAAACAACAAATCAGACACGTGGCCTCCAGGGGGCAGTAGAGGACACAAAAAGCTTCGTTTGCACCCAGACTTCATGGAAGTGGGGCAGATAACCTCAGTGAGGACAGGATCGGAGCTTTTTCTCTCCCTTGATGAACTTGTTTTCTGTTCTTGACAAGAACTCCTCAGAACACTGAAGAGTCTCTGCAGCTTTTTTGCTAAAAGGTGCGGTTATCTTTTAGCTTCGCATCAGGACTGCTGTCAGACAGGCAGGTCCTACTGGTTCAGGCTGTGGAAAAGGAGCTTCGGTTACCTGTCTGATGGACATGGTGCAGAGGATGTAGAGGAAGATAAAGGAGCAGTCCGTGTAGTCCTCGCCCAGCAGGTTGCGGTGCGACAGCCCCTGGATGTACGAGAGCGGCACAAACGGCAGCTTGGCCACCACCCTTCCATCAAAACTGGCAGAAAAAGAGAAAAGCAGGCAGAAGTCTGAGCCCGTTTACTGAAGAGAACTGAAGAAGTCACTGATGGCAGCACAGAATATCTGTATCTATACTCTGGTCTCCATCACCCTCATGTAACGTTAGGTTTTGAATTAAAAATACAAATATGTGAACAAAGTGTGCCACTTACATGGAGTTAAACATGCCCATCAGAGCTGTGAAGCAGAAGCCAATGGCGAACATGGACTTCATGCGCACCTGCAGACATGAACACTTACAATTAATGAAGAATACGTTTCAGCCCAACCTGTGCTGTCCAAGTAAGAACAAGACAAACAGTTCCAGACAACTAGACACACCTTTTCACACAAACCGTTTTTAAAACCTCTGATGCATGTTCAATACTCAAGGTAGAAAAATCTTACAAAGTTAAGTCAGGCCCTCTGGACGGATGCAAAAACTAAAGAATGAAAAATACAAACAAAAAAATTGTTGAAACGTTTCATCTTTTATCCAAAAGACTCTGTCAGTCTGAGAAGCTGTAATACACTCAAGTCTTATAAATAGCATCTTCTCATAGTGGATCAACCAGTTTCCATCAACCAGGTCTCAGTCTCTGATAGAGGACATTTGCAAACTGAGGTGTACTGAAAACCCACACACACAGACCAGTATTTGCAGTTTGACTCCCATCACCCTCTGGAGCACAAGTAAAGGCAGTGTTTCCCCTACCATTATACAAGTGGGGTGCCCCACCCCATCAACAGAACTGAGCACCCCGCCTACCAAACTGACCACCCCCCCACCCACTCCCGGCACTGACATAGTGCTAAGCTAGAGGTGAACAATGCAGGCGCTCTAGCTAAAAAGCTAAAGGCAGTGCTCACGTTGCCTCTTCTCTCACCCCCCCCCCCCCCCACACACACACACACACTCAAGGGTGCAGGAGGTGCTAAATAATCATTTAAAATAATTCATTTTAAATAAAAATTTCATGCCGATCATGCGGCTCATCCATCCATCAGCCAATTGTGTGTCATGTCCAATCTTATTTTGAAAAACCGCGATAGAGCGAGTCTGCGATAAACAAACCACAAAGTAGCGAGGGACTACTGCAGTATTGTGTATGCTGTTCAGTGCCAGGAGGGCTGTGATCAGCCATACATCAATTGTTGGGCTGATGGTCCTCCTTTATCATGTGAACCGCTAGTTCTGGATGTCAACAACAAACTGGTTGATCCACTATGAAAAGGTGCTATTTATAAGACTGAGCTTATTACAGCTCCTCAGACTGACAAAGTCTTTTGGATAAAAGACAAAGCGTTTCAACAAATGTATTATTTATTTATTGTATTTTTTACTTTTTTTTACTTAAATGCATCCATCCAGAGGACCTGACTTAACTTTGCTAGATTTTTCTACCTGGATTATGGAGCAAGCGTCAGGATATTTTGAACCACTTTGGCCAGGATTGCCTCAAACTACCGTAGTTGGAGCATTTGAGTAAACAGCAAGGAAGAGGGCAGCCTACAAAAACCACCTCCAATTCAACCTTCGATACAGACAGAGTGGCACCTGTCCCAAGGGCCTGGAACTCAAATTTTCCATCATCAAGCATCGGGCAAGAAATCCTACAGAGAGCACAGATCCAACAGCTGAACAAACGGGTGAGAGAAACCAATTTAACCACTGAGGCATTAGAGGCCAAAGAAGAGCACATCTGACAAAAACTAACAACACGCCTAGATCAGACTACGTTTCAGTAAGTGATGAATTTCACAGATAAGGCACGCCTAATACAGCATGTCCAGTCCAAGACCCGACAATAAAAGAAGTTTAATTTACTGGCAACTTGTCAAGCCCATCCCAATTCCAATAACAACACAATGGAAGACAACACATAGTGACACACTAGGGAGACAGGAAAAGTGGGTGAATAATTTCACTTACAGCTCACCAACCGGAGACAGAAATCATTGCCTGGGGACTGAACTTGTGGTTGTGCCAAGAATTCCTCTGGTGGAAATGGTCACAGCCAAAGAATCAGCCATAATCAACAAGATTAAAGAGTTTGAAGCAGAACAACTTGGGAACAAAGTTTCAGCCTGCCTCAGCAACGCCAAACCACCACCTTCCAACATCAGTAGAGAGGAGAGGGATGCACTCATCAGTCAGCAAGGACTAAAACATCATCATTCTCCCAGCAGACAAAGGAAGGTGCACAATGATTGTGAACCAGAAAGACTATCATGAGAAAGTTATGACACTCCATAGTGACTTAACCACTTATGAGCCGCTGATTCTGTGGATAAATATATAAAGTTCACACGATGAGAAGACGTAAAAGAATGGCAGGTTGGCTTTCTTGGACTGTGAGGTCTCAGTCTCTGATAGAGGACATTTGCAAACTGAGGTGTACCACAACCACCCACACAGACCAGTATTTGCAGTTTGACTCCCATCACCCTTTGCAGCACAAGTTAAGAGTCATCAGGACTCTGTATCACAGAGCAGACAGCGTCCCCACTAACTCTGGAGCCAGGCAGAAGGAGAAATCCCACACAAGACAGGCCCTGGAGCAATGTGGATATCCTAACTGGGCCTTCCTGAAAGCAGAGAAGAAACCCAAACAGGACTCCAGTCAGCCAACAGGTGAAAAGGAGGAACCCAGACCCAGACGTCATTCTGTGCAGGAATTTGAGAGAAACTGAGATGTTTATTTTCTAAACATGACCTCCCAGTGGCTTTTAAACCCCAAAATACAATGTAGACTGGTCCATCCAAAAGATCCAGTCCCCCGGCACAAACAGAGTAATATTGTGTATGCTGTTCAGTGTCAGGAGGGCTGTGATCGGTCTTACATCAGAAAAACTAAACAGCCACTGGCCAAAAGGATGGTCCAGCACAGAAGATCAACATCATCAGGCCAGGACTCTGTGGTCTACACTCATCTCCAGGCCAGAGGTCACTCTTTCAAGGATGAAGATGTTCACATCCTGGACAGAGAGGAACGATGGTTTGAGAGAGGAGTAAAGGAGGCCATCTTTGTGAAAAGAACTCGTCCATCATTCAACAGGGGTGGAGGCCTCCGGGTTCAACTGTCCCCCTCTTACAATGCTGTGATTGCTAGTATCACTCAGCCCTCTGTGAATAGCAAGCGGCCATCAGAGTACTAACAATCGTTATAGGCTGATGGTCCTCCTTTATCATGTGAACATCTAGTTCAGGATGTCAACAACAAACAGGTTGATCCACTATGAAAAGGTGCTATTTACAAGACTGAGCTTATTACAGCTCCTCAGACTGACCAAGTCTTTTGGATAAAAGATGAAACATTTCAACAATCGTTATGTATATATATATATATATATATATATATAT